ATTACGAAGATTGTATTTGAGTGGATGATGAGAACACGTGTACTGTAAATCTGTAGGAACCATGGTGGCTAAGACGCTGACTCGCTAGCCTGGAGGTCGGGTGTTCGATCCCTGCATTGGCCGAGAAAGTTCATCCGGATTTTCCCTTGTCAGTGGCGAAGGACGGAGTGCCTGTCTAGTCGTTCGGATGGGACGAGAAACCAAGGTCCCGTGTACAAATTGGCATGTACGTAAAAGATCCCTTGACAGTTGGAATTCGATATAAGAGTAGGCCGTAGTGCCGCTGTCCGGGCAAAATTTCCACCATGGCACACTCTATGGCCTATGCCCGTATTCAGTAGCCCAGTTGGGAGCAGAACAGTAGGACGTTAAACTCCATTTCATTTCATTTCATCAATTAACATATTGTTTATTTGTCCTGGTTCCGATTCATGTAATAGACCTATTTATTGTAGCATATCACTTATAGGACCTGTGTTATTTTCAACACAAGTTAGGTGTCTCTATTTAACAACTTTTGTTAAATGTTGAAACAACACAACTTGTGTTAAAGTTTATCAAATAACACAAGCTTGTGTTGAAACTTGTGTTGTTTCATACAAACTTGTTTTATAGTGTTACGACAAGCGGTTGTATATAATCACCAATAAAAACTTGTGTTGTATTTTCCCAATTTATATGCAGTAAAGCAGCACTTCTAATTTAGCGCCCCGCTCTTTGCTTTTTATCATTTGTAATGTCTGATAAATGTCTGATATTAGACAGTATTTTCATATAATATATCATTTATAAAGACTAATGTCACTAAATCATTCCAGACTGTATCTCCCTAATTAAAAACTACTTTCATATAATTAATTCCCGTGTCTACCCAGTTCAATTACTTATTGTCGCTGAACAGTTTCCTCAAATGAGAAATGGTATCAGATTACTCATTAAGAGTAAGCATATCCCGATACGTGCACAACACCCATCACCACTGATTAAATGTTCTGACCTATATTTCTTGGGGTGGGGGACAGACCGGTCTAAGGCGTGCGCTCTGGATCATAATGTCTCTTAATGAGTCAAGTGTCGCTGTTCCGATTTCCCACTTGCACGTGACAAGGAGTATAGGGCCGTTTGTCCAGGTGCTTCAGCTCCCCCCCCCCCCAACACAATTGAATTATTGAAACAAAAAATGAACAATATGTTAGCAACGAAATGACCTGGTCTTAGTAATTGAACTGTAATACACTAACACTATTTATAGAATAACAATTTATGGAATAAGCAAATTTACTTAATATAGATGAGAGTATCATCGTCGAAACGTTGCAAGTTAATAAACCAGTTATTGTTATTCCATCAATAGTGTTAGTGTGCTAAGTTATTTGGTTTCGAGAGGGGGGGGGGCGAATGGTTAGCACGTGCGCGCTGTATCAGACAGTCTGTCATTGAGTGCACGTGCGCGCTGTATCATGCAGTCTGTCATTGAGTCAACTGGCGGGGTATCGATTCCCCGGTTGTACGTGACAAGGAGTAGGGTCGCGCTGTCCAAACTCGTTGGTTTTCCCCGGGTTCTCCGGTTTCCTCGAACTGCTCAATACCCGTACGCGCAAGCGAATTATTGAAATAAAAGACTGAACCATGTGTTGGTCCCGAAATGACTTAGTTTGTGTCGAGTGAACGTTAAACCCCATTTTTCTCGCTCACTCTATTTGGTCTCATGTAATCTAATAGCCAAGCCTGAATTACCGACAGTAGGCTATTGTTCTACGACTTAACGCGTTAATGGGCTTAGTTGCAAAATAATTCTCAACGACGTTTTGTTACTTCTCAAGTCAACTGTAGATAAGGTAATCGCTTATTGTTTATCCATTGGTCGTTGTTATTGACAATAAACTGAAAGTAGAAGTGTGGTAGTTATGGCGATGTTTGTATCACGTGATGTAATGACTATAGGGTATATATTAAGCGATCATTATTAACATAAAATCATATTCCTTAGTTCTACCTTCTCTTATCAACAACTACAAAATTTTACCAAAATGGCTGATCTTGATATGGTTAACAGGGATCCCAATAACATCAACGATTTCGTTGGGGTAAGGTGTTTTTTATTTCATTAAACATACATTATGCAAGAGCTAAATCTATCTATTGTGGGTCTTTCTTTAGGCCTGAAATGTTATCGAAATTATTAATGAGACCATAATCAACTCTAGATGGCATCGCTAGCCTGCAATCCTTAGTGGATTATGAGGCGATTTACGCCATAAATTTTCTTAACGATTTAACGATAAAATAGATAATCGAGACTATGCTGTTTATCGTACTGACTTTAGTAATGATGATCGAGGCTAGGCGGACATTTCACTCGCTTAGTTCCCGGTTCATAGTGGATCAATTTGAATGAAATATTCAGCAAATTGCCTTTACATTATCTAGTTTTAACTATTATAGTGAGAACTGCCAACTCGTTATCGAATCTCCCATAATGTATCTTTAAGTTTTCAAATTCGTAATTTCAGTATTTAGTTTGAAAATAATTTACCTAATGACATCTATGAGGTACGCAAAGGCAGCTAGTAAGGAACTGATAGCTAACCAATAGGTCACGTGTTCGATCCCGGTGATTGCCGAAAAACCTACTTGGGAAATTCGGGCGCGGTTTCCCTTTATCAGTGTGCAGGGCGAGGTGGGGGTGGCTTGACATCTAGTCTTTAGGTGGTGTGAAAAACCAAGATTCCATGTACACATTGATGTGCACTTAAAATAACTCTGGACAGATGGATTTTAAAATAAAGTGTACTGTAATGCCTCCTTAATGTATCAAATTAAGGAAGTAGTGTCAAATAGAATAAGAATAATCTGGCAAGCGATAAAGGAGATATCTATCTCTTGTAGAATCAATTCTAGACGTTGATCAATTGAGAAAGGATGTTCGTTAACAGATCAGAATAATCTACCTCATCTATCTGAATCCGTTTGTCAATGTAGGTTATCCATTTACTCAATCAATAACACAATTTGTATAAACGCAAACAATTATTCAGATACATTTCCATGTGCGTTTTTAAGGTTATGAAAATTATTTTACTGTTTATTCTTGTCAAACTAATTCATCAGTATTTACTGTTTTCTAGGTTCAATTTGAAGATGTTTTAGCTGAACCTGAAGGAGCTCACAGTATAGATTGTGTATGGAGAGCCTCCTTCTTCTGTTTCAATATATGGAAAAATTTCTTCTATAAACTCGCCACCTTGTGTTGTGGTATGTGTATTGCTGCTGAATGGGGATGTGAATTTGCTAGAATAGCTTTTACCCATATTTGGTTCGTCACTCCGTTATTCAAAGTTCTGGAGATTAATTGTGGATGTTTACAGAAATTCTGGGGCTTGTGTGTCCATTGTTGTTGTGACCCATGTTGTGAGGCGTTTGGGTTGTTATTTGGAGCGTTTAAAAAGGAATAAAGGCCCTTTTTTGTGTTACGGTACCTTAGGTTTTAAATTTCGACAAATTTTCGCGTTTTTACATTTATAGTGTATATAACATTAATTAATATCTATGACAGTATATAATTTTATACTGTATAGAAAACCCAAAGCAATTCTGTGATAAATTTGTTGATATTTTTTGTGTTATTGAATTAAGCACATTAAGAAATTTTGTATAATATGATTTGTATATGTAGTAAGAAATATAATAATTTATTGAATTAAGGACATTAAGAAATTTTGGTATATAATATTTATATATGTATTAAGAAATATAATAATTTCTATCGACTTTCAGCTAATCTGTGATATTTTGTAAATAAAAGCTTGATGTTTCCATGGAAATTGTGCTTTTTGTTTTGTTATTTTTTATCATTATTCCATTCAGATTCTGTGTCATCCATTTAAAACCATGAACGACCTTGAAGTTTTATAAACACTTGTTCAGACAATTATTTTTAAAACTTGTCAGAATATTGGAGTATTTATCTATTGGTGGATTTTAATTGTTAAATCTGTGATTGAAGAAATTGAGAGTATGTGCGCTGTTATTTACAGTTATATAATACCTGGACGTTTTTTTTTACAAATCAGATTTATACACGGTCTACCACAGATGAGATTGTATAAACTCTCTACATGTGTTATGAGGGAAATTTTGCCCGGGCATCGGCACTACGGCATACTTTTATATCGGATGCCAACACCAATGTGTACATGGGACCTCGAGTTTCCGTCCCATCCGAAATGTCGGCACTCATTTGGTGGGTTTTTTTTCATCTCTTCTATAAAATCATAACGGGGTAATATTTACCACGCTTTACAAGCAGCGGGGTGACGTGGCAAAGCTACGGCCAATCTGATTAAAATACAGATCTATATTTCGTTTCGTTTTTTTTTTATAATTTCGATGGCCCACACTACATGAATAGGGTCGCCTGTCCAACCTCGTGTGTTTTCTCTGGGTCCTCTGGTTTCCTCCCACGGGTAAAGACCCCTACGCGCAAGCGAATTATAGAAATAAAATTGAACCATGTGTTAGTCCCGAAATGTGTCGAGTGGACGTTACCCCCCCCCCCCTCTCTCTCTCTCTCTCTCTCTCTCTACATGACGATCTGATTGGTTGTAGCGATAGGTCGCGTCGGAGGTCATTAGTCCAGTCGTAGTGGAATAGTGGGCCCATTGAACCCCATTTCATTTCCTGTTTGATAGAAAAAATATAAAATAAAGTTTACAAGGCATCAGTCAAGGCATACAACACATTTTATTGAAAATATACAAGGACTTCTGTTATCTTCGTCATTTTGGCATTTTGGAGTCGATGAAAGAGATAGTTCATCAGTAATACATCAGACCATCTGTTATCTTCGTCAATTTAACATTTAGGAGTCGGTGAAGGAGGTAGTTCATCAGTAATAGACAAGGACTTCTGATATCTTCGTCATTTTAACATTTAGGAGTAGGTGAAAAAAGGAGGTAGTTTATCAGTAATACACAAGGACTTCTGATATCTTCGTCATTTTAACATTTAGGAGTAGGTGAAGGAGGTAGTTCATCAGTAATACACAGATGAGCCAAACCTGGAAACAAAGATCAATATAGTCAGTTTTATTTCTGTCACAGTCCAACCGACATTCTACACACAGCTGTCTCACTAATCAGGTTCGGGGTTCGATCCCGGTTGTGGACGAGATAGTTCCAACGGAATTTCCAGCCTGGTTCCCCCTTGTCAGTGGTGCTAGAGGAAGAGTCTGGCAAGGAACAGTGTCTAGTCGTTAGGGAGGACCAAAACCGTGCACCGTAAAAGACCCATTGACGGTTGGAATTCAATTCCAGTCCAGGCAAAATTCGCTCTTACCACACTGTATGCCCGTCATCATTATCCCAGTTTTCGCCGTAAAGTAGGACGTTAAACCCTATTTCATTCATATTTAAACGGCAAGATTTCGTTGAATTAACATTAAGGTCAATGGGCTGGTAAAATTAAAGGTTGTGTGTATCCAAGTGAAGTAATACGAGTTATTAAGAATTATCCCTCTTTGTATAGAAGCGTACAGTTTGTATAGAAGCGTACAGAAGTATAACTTTACTGTGGCCTGGGTCTCAATATTTACCTTTACGCTTAGCAGACTGAAACACTAGAGACTCGGGATCTAGTTCAGCCAGTGGCGGTGTATAGGGAGTTGATTATACCCAAATCTATTCCGCAATGTCTCTACTGTCAATTAATATGCAATATCCTACCTGCACAAGCAGATTGTAGACCCATATTGTAGACCAGGGCTACTTCATTTCTAACATAATCGCTCCGATCATCAACCCACTCATCCTTCGGATTAGGTCCACCAACCAAACCTCCCACTAATAGATGGGGATTGGGAGCCGTGCTGATGTTGTAGGCGTTCCAGCCACAGAAGATGTTCAAATCAGGACACGAACTGAAAATTAAAAGATGATGAGAAATAAAACAAAAGATCATATATTTGTAAATGTGGTGTATGTTTATTGTGCTATTACTACTGGAGAGAGAGAGAGAATGAATGAATGAAATGTGGTTTTATGGCACGTCAGCTCCAACCGGGCTATATTGCGCCAAACATATGGTGCAATTATTCGAGACAAAATAAATGAAATCACAGAAATATATTTATATCCATAAATAAAAACAAGTATCACAGATAATATATAAAATTAAAAATAAATATCAAATACTTTATGAATATAAACTTTTAAAATGAAAGAAGACGGTTTACATATATACAATTAAAACTTACAATAAAATTTTGTCTCTTTTAAAAAATTTAGGATCTTACAATATAGCTCCGGTTGAGCAAATAAATGTTGTAATATCTGACAACGGTAATATTTTGATCTAATATTTCCAAGATACTTGCACTCAATCAAAATGTGCTTCACCGTCAAAGGAACATGACAGTGTTCACATTCTGGTTGAGGCTCTCACTTCAAGATGAAAAGGTGAGTTAAAAAAGTATGACCAATGCGAGAGCGACACAAAACAACTTCATCCCTCCTGTTAGTTCTATAGGAGTTAGGCCAATCTCCTAAGAGAGGCTTAGTGTGATGAAGTTTGTTTGTGCCTGCAAGATCCCACAACCGTTGCCAACGGCCATAAATTAAATGATTAATTGAATGTTTAAAATCCTTATATGGAATTAAAAAGGGTGATTGGGGAAGATCTAAAGCAGCTTTGGCAGCAAAATCTGCCTGATCATTCCCCCTTATATCTACGTGACTGGGGAGCCAGCAAAAGACGACGTCTTTAAATGATTAACTGATAATGCACTAGTTTTACCTTTAATCCTACGAATCCTATCCCATACCGACTTAGATGTGGTACGGGAATTAATCCTTGAGACGTAACCTTGCCATGAAGATTTCTTTGCTTGACGTATGGTTCTACGGGCCTTCGCCCGGACCATCTGGTATGCCGCAATATTCTCCATAATCGTCTCAAGATGCGATCATGCTCTTTAAGAGCGGATTTGTAATCATCGTTGTACCATGGTTTATTGAAACGTTTTCGAGTAGTCGTGGTTTTTGGAATCGCCTGCTGAGCTACATCTTGAAGAATTGAAGTGAATAAGGCCATGGGCACATCTGCATCTTCTTACTCTTTTGCATCAAAAGAGAAGAGACACAAAGATTCAAATAGAGCCCAATCAGCCTTATGCAACCTCCACCTCTGTGGTCTTTCGACCGGATAGGGTCCATTATTATCTATCAAGATCGGATAGTGGTCACTGCCACACAGATCTCCATTTACTCTCCATGAAAAATCCTGAAACAAGACCGGAGAGCAAATGGTGAGATTGAGGGAAGAAAAAGAAGCTGTGGCAGGATGTAGATAAGTAGGCGAGTCATTATTTAATAAACACAAATTATTAATGTTAATGAAGTCCGCTATTTGTTTACCTCTGTTGTTATCATCTGGACTACCCCAGAGTGGATGATGACCATTGAAATCTCCCGTAATAATAAACGGGAGAGGAAGTTGTGCAACAAGGTCATCAAGATCTCTGGTATTAAGATGTAAACTTGGTGGAAGATATATAGAGCAGAGTGTTATAGGAATATGTAAAGTCAACCTAACTGCAACTGCTTGTAAAAGCGAGTTGAGGGTGACTTGAGAATAATAGAAACACCCCCTTGAGCTCTACCATCGCCAACTGAGTGGTGATGGTAACCATGGGTTGCAGAGAAAGGGCTCGCAAGACAAATCCCCACTCAATTACCAGGATCCCACTCTCCACCGACACGGGTCGCAACGCACGGCAAACACGTTGCCCCATTACAGGGGTCCTTTTAGTTGTCTGTTACGACACGCAGGACATACGAAGGGTATATTCTTATCACCCCCTACACCCCAGGGGGGAGAGAGAGAGAGAGACAGAGAGGCAGCGAGACAGATGGAGAGAGGGGGGTAACGTTCACTCGACACAAACTAGGTCATTTCGGGACTAACACATGGTTCAATTTTATTTCAGCTCATAAAATTGATGCAGTTTCATTCATCTTGCGACACGTTCATTGATCTAATTAAAACCCGACAAAGTCTCATGTATAACACAGCCGACTAGACGTTAACCGCTCTGAATACATATTAGATCTTATATAATGCAGAGACCACAAACCATAAGGACGAAACAAAATAAAGATATTTTCTTTACCTGGGTCTGTGATGAGGGTGAACGGGGTATTTGGAACCAAAACCAATGACGTAACTCATTTTATAATTATTATCTCCCAGGATATAGTTTATTTGACTCAAAGCCCATTGACGATTTTCTGTAGCATCAATACCCAGGTCTGCTGCCCATATGGCAGCGTATGCTGCATTCGCTGTAAACAAAGAGTTAATGGTTCAAGATAAAATTTGTAGTTGATTAAAACTATTCGACAAAATAAAAATAATTTAGTACTCGACTAAGTCTATAATACCCCTCTCCTATTTGACAAATTTAAAATGAACAACGACACGCTGAATAATGTTGAGGGGTCTTTCAAATTGGGTCAAAATACCCAATAAAAAGCAGATTAAGGAACAAGCTCTTACCTGCAAGCCGACAACTTCCCCATCTTTCAAAATATGCCAAACCACATGGCGAGTACGGCGTGGAACTACCAGGCTTCCATTTCGTTAGGAAATTCTGTATTTCAACTTTATAACTATCGTCACGGGTTAAGTCATACAACATTAACTAGAATATAACAATCGTCATGAGTTAATTCATACAACATTAACTAGAATATAACAATCTACATGAGTTAATTCATAAAGCATTAACTAGAATATAACAATCGTCATGAGTTAATTTATACATCAACTAGAATATAACAATCGCAATGAGTTAATTCATACATCATTGACTAGAATATAACAATCGTCATGAGTTAATTCATACATCATTAACTAGAATATAACAATCGTCATGAGTTAATTCATACATCATTAACTAGAATATAACAATCGTCATGAGTTAATTCATAAAGCATTAACTAGAATATAACAATCGTCATGAGTTAATTCATACATCAACTAGAATATAACAATCGCCATGAGTTAATTCATACATCATTAACTAGAATATAACAATCGTCATGAGTTAATTCATGCAACATTAACTAGAATATAACAATCGTCATGAGTTAATTCATACATCAACTAGAATATAACAATCGTCATGAGTTAATTCATAAAGCATTAACTAGAATATAACAATCGTCATGAGTTAATTCATACATCAACTAGAATATAACAATCGCCATACATCATTAACTAGAATATAACAATCGTCATGAGTTAATTCATACATCATTAACTAGAATATAACAATCGTCAAGAGTTAATTCATGCAACATTAACTAGAATATAACAATCGTTATGAGTTAATTCATACATAAACTAGATTATAGTAACTAGAATATAACAGTCGTCATGAGTTTAATCATAGTAACTAGAATTTAACAATCGTCATGAGTTAATTCATATAACATTAACTAGAATATAACAATCGCCATGAGTTTAATTATAGTAACTAGAATATAACAATCGTTAAGTGGGTAAGGCGCTGGCTCGCTAGCCTGGAGCTCGGGTGTTCGATCCCTGCATTGGCCGAGAAAGTTCATCCAGATTTTCCGGCGTGGTTCTCCCTTGTCAGTGATGCAGGGCAGAGTGCCTGACAAGGACAGCTGTCTAGTCGTTCGGATGGAACGAAAAACCGAGGTCCCGTGTACACATTGGCATGCACGTAAAAGATCCCTTGGTAGTTGGAATTCGATATAAGAGTAGGCCGTAGTGCCGCTGTCCGGGCAAAATTTCCCCCATAGCACACTGTTTGGCGTATGCCCGTCTTCATTAGCCCAGCTCGGAGCAAAACAGTAGGACGTTAAACCCCATTTCATTTCATTTAATTCATATAACATCAACTAGAACATGCAATCGCCATATGTAACAATATCATGGCCTCGACTTCATATTGGTTCCAAGATTATAAATCAGTTAGACGCCATGTAATCCAACGGAAATAAACGACCTATAGGGGAAAATAGAGATACTGACTGGTCATGTATCTTTTTGGTCTTCATAAACAAATCATATCTGTTCATGTTTCATATTGATTGTGATTGCACTTTAAATGGAAATTTACCAGATATTCTCTCAAGGCTATTGTCCATATTTGTCTAATTCTGTCGTCATTGGGCGTAACTGATCAATCGGGGAATATAAAAGGCAAATGATAGTCTTAAGCCCCAAACAACAATAACAACAACAACTTAAGCCCCAAACAACAATAACAACAACTTAACAAATTAGATTAGAAGAGGGCGTAAAGCCTTAAGCAACACTAGCGTGGTTTCGAATCCCCGGTTGTACGTGACAAGGAGTAGGGTCGCCTGTCCAACCTCGTGGGTTTTCTCCGGTTCCTCCGGTTTCCTCCCACTGCTAAAGACCCCTACGCGCAAGCGAATTATCGAAATAAAATTAAACCATGTTAGTCCCGAAATGACCTAGTTTGTGTCGAGTGGACGTTAAACTCCATTCCTCTCTCTCTCTCTCTCTCTCTCCCAAAGCAACAATAACAACAGTTTAACAAATTAGATGCCAATGAGATTCTGAGAAGACCATTTATAGTGTTTTCCAGAAGCCTATAGCTACGCTAGTTATTTCAATACGGCTAACCAAATCAGATATAATATGCCAGGAACAACAAGAGTTTCTAATATGCGTTTTATATCGAAGCAGGATGCATAATCTATAAGTAATAGTTTACATAATACTAAAATAATATGTCTTCCATTCTCTCAATCTGACTCATGCAAAGTCTAGTCAGCGTGGCTAGACTTCTGGAAAACGCTGCATCGGGGTCATCTCAGAATCTCGATGGCATCTGATTAACTAAGCTTAAGTTTACGTCTTTTATATTCCCCGATTTCTCCTATTTATCAGCTGATTCGTTAAACAGGAATTATGAAAGAGGTAAATCTGCCTATTGCAGGTATTTCTTTACGACTGAAATGTTATATAGATTATTAATTAGACATTTATTAAATTACGAAGATCATAATTAACTCTCGATGCGGTCAGATGGCTGCGATATTAGTAGATTGAAATACATTTTGTGATCGATGCGATTACTGTAAAAATTGATTATCCAGAATTGAAATTTGACTGAACGTTTCAGCATATTCTCTTTTTATTATCTATTTTCTTGGAGGATCACGTGGCTAAGTGGGTAAGACGCTAGCTCGCTAGTCTGGAGGTCGGGTGTTCGATCCCTGCATTGGCCGAGAAAGTTCATCCAGATTTTCCGGCGTGGTTCTCCCTTGTCAGTGATGCAGGACGGAGGGGCTGACAAGGAAAGCTGTCTAGTCATTCGGATGGGACGAAAAACCGAGGTCCCGTGTACACATTGGCGTGCACGTAAAAGATCCCTTGGCAGTTGAAATTCGATATAAGAGTAGGCCGTAGTGCCGCTGTCCGGGCAAAATTTCCCTCATAGCACACTGTATGGCGTATGCCCGTCTTCATTAGCCCAGGTTAGGAGCAGAAAAGTAGGACGTTAAACTCCATTTCATTTCATTTCATTTCTATTTTCTTGAACTATTATAGCTAGAACTGTCTCTAATGCCGCTTTAATTACACCCAATGACGTCAAGATTACGTCAACAAGACTGACTAATGCGGATTGGTTCTAGATTAATCTCAGATCTCACGTAATGTTATTCTCAAAACATTGAATAAATAATAATTACGTTTGAAATAAACAGCTGTCCTAAACGAGAACTTTTCTGTCAGACTGTTTTCCTACTTACCTAATGTTACTATTCACCTAACGTTATTATTCATATAGCATATTCACCTTAATTATATTACAGAAGAACATATATTTGGTAAAAAGTAGTCCCGACAGTATATTCACCTAACGTTATTATTCATATAGCATAAATCACAATTATATTACAGAAGAACATATATTTGATAAAAAGTAGTCCCGACACCATGGTCACCAGGACAGTCACCGGTCAAGTAAACGAAAATTTGAAGGTCAGAGCAATGGTTTCATTTAATATGCGACTAAATAAATTCGTGCCTTATCTGGTTGAAAGATCGGTTAGTTCAACAACAACTGATTGTATTGGTCAGAAGAATTTGTGTGCGATAATGTTTTGTAATAGTAAAGTTATATTGTCAAAAATATCCCCCACTACGTAAGGCCGAACCAACGAACGAATTACAGCTGGTGCCGCTCAGTTGTTACCTGACATGCTGCAAGACCATTATCCCAGTCTAAACGTTGAGGAACATTAGTTTTATGAGACAATTTGGCATCGTTCAAATACGTCTGATTACCAGTAGCTTTGAACATCCAGGCACCAGCTAAACATAGTTCATCAGTATAACCTTTTGAACTAAAATAAAGATTTTTATTATAAAACATATATACGATTTTCTTAATATATCTAACATAAAGATTTGGTTTTTTGTTTTTCCTTCATAAAAATAACAAATATGATTTTTCTTATTTATGAATATTTTTTAATTATATGAAAAAATAACAATAAATTTTTTGTATGAAAAAGTAACAAGAAATCTTTACGTTAAAAAATAACAATACATCTTTATGTTAATTTTTTTGTATATATAAAAACAATAACAATTATATGAAAAAATAGCAATATAATTTTTTTTATATAAAAAATAACAAATGTTTTATATAAAAACTAAATTTTTGTATATAATAAGATAACTATAAATACGATATTTAATAAAAGTAACAAATACGATTTATATTGAGAAACAAACGAAAACGATAAGATTTGTATATAAAAGAAATAACACTTCTATTAAAAGAATAACAATATTTCTTTTATATATAAAAAAACCTAAATATTTTGTTGAACAATACGTTCAGCTGGTATTTTATGATTTTAAAAATAAGTAAGTTCAATACACATAATATTTAGAAGAAGGCGTTATTCCTTTATAGGTGACCGCAAATGTGTACAGTGATTTGGCAGCTTCAAGAAGTTGTGCAGAATAAGTTGGATCTGGAAAACAATGAAAAGGGATAAATAGCGGAAGTGCGTATTATTCATATAGCATATTTACCTAACGTTATTATTCATATAGCATATTCACCTAACGTTATTATTCATATAGCATATTAACCTAACGTTATTATTCATATAGAATATAATATATATATATATATATATATATATATATATATGTTATTATGGACAAGTTGATTAGATTAAGATTATATGAAAAAATAAGGTAAATAAAAGTTCTTTTATATAGAAATATCAATTTAAAACACTGTGTAAAAATTCTCTGTCGTGAGAAGAGAGGGTGGTTCATCTTCTCCATTCGTCATAATAAAATGATGTTGAGAGTTAATTAAATCGACCCGATCGTTCGTTCCTTCCTGGAGTTTTACGTCCACTTCCAACGAGGGTGATATCGCCCCGATGTCACCCCTTTCAGTAATTGTAGCAGCCAAGTTAATATGTACTGCTGATCAGTGCTGATCAGTTTGGAGGATCAGCTGATTGATGTTAATTTTAGCATTACCTGTTTTCTTAAAGGCGATGGAACCTGCAGCAAAAGCTGCCACCGTTTGACCAGCTACGTCACTTCCTGGTTTAGATGGAGAAACGGAGAAAGCTGGTCGAGCCATCGTCATATCTTCAGGTCTACCCCAGAATTTATGATCTATATCACCATCACCAACCTATTGGCATAGTTTAATTTCATGAATTTATATTCGATTGGGGTGTCACGGTGGCTCGCTGAGTAAGAAGTTGACTCGATAACCTGGAGGTCCGTGTTCGATCCCTGCGTTGGTTGAGAAAGTTCATCACGGCCCTGGCAAGGGGTAGAGTATAGTCATTCAGATGGGACGAAAACCCGAGGTCCCGTCTACACATTGGCGTGCACGCCATAGATCCCTTGGCAGATGGAATTCGATTTAAGTTTAGGCCGTAGAGCCGCTGTCCGGGCAAAATGTCCCTCAGTGCAAAACCCCATTTCATTTCACTTCATTGTATATTAGATCGGTTTCAGGGCTGTTGGGTAAGCTGTTGCCATTTAAACAAAACTTCGTCACTATAAATAGTATTATTCCGAATAAAAATGAAAAATCCGGTGCTGAACAGCAACTGGTCTCCATCCCAACTATATATACATGGATGTATATAACAAATACTAGCTAACAGCATAGACACGGTCAACTAGACAGCCCTTATATTTCAATAGGAATTGGGGTTTTCTATATACCATAAAACGTACCACGTGTTCAGGCCTGCCTAGTGTTGTAATAATTAAATAAAGGTATTTTACCTGATAATAGTAAATTTGTTTTGAAGGAATCCAACATTTAAGGAAATAATCTAATTCCCATTTAACCGAATCTAAGGCCATGTTGATTTGTCCTAGAGCTGTATAAGTATCATACCACCTCACTATGCCATTTAATAAAACACGTACGGTTGCTGAACCAGGAAGATTAAACTTGACCAGATCCCCAGCTACAAATAAAACATATCAATATGTATTTAATAATCAAATAACAGAGACTCTCTCTCTCTCTCTCTCTCCCTCTCTCTCTCTCTTTCTCTCTCTCTCTCTCTCTCTCTGAATGTATCAAATTACTTACCATCGTACCATCCACCAGATAAATCCTCTCCATGATCCCCCTGATCGTTGATGGCTGAATCCCCCCGCCAGGGTATGGGGTTATTAGCAGGTAGTTTACCAGATCGTTGAGCATCGTAAAATAAGATCGATTTAGTTACAACTTCACCATAATCATACTTGGCTTTAGAACAAATACTCGCTGTCATTATATCATTCTATTTAAACATACATTATGCAAGAGCTCAATCTGCCTATTGGAAGTCTTTATTTAGGCTTCAGATGTTATAGAAACTATTAATTAGACCTTCATTTATACGAAAAGCTTAAGATCAACTCTGTAGACCCTCGGATGCCTTGGATACAGCTTGGATTTAAACATTGGTCCATTTAAACTTTAATCAATAAATTGGGGACAAGCTAACGTTTACCGTTAGTCACCGACATCACTAGCGGAGACTGGTGATGAAATGCCTGCCAAGCGAGGGTACCATAGCCATTGGGAATGTTACTTGATAATCGAGATTATACGGGGGGAGGGGGTATCGTCTGTCAATCAAATGATCCGCAATTCTCGTAGACGGTGCGGACACAGTTATTGCCTATTTCTAGTCCAAACTTCCAACAGTGAAAACTCCGCTAAGAATAAAGTAATTTGACTGAAATTTTCAATATTGTTTCCCTTTATCATCTATTTTTTGAATAATTATAATAATTATTATTATAGCAAGAATGAAGAATGGCCAACTCTTTATTATCCTCTTAATGTATGTATCTTTAAATGACATTGAATAATTGAGCTGGAAATACACAACTGTTCATTAGTAAGGTTCTCTAGATTTTTATCATCAGTATTATATTGCCAGCTTACTCTTCCGGACACCTGTTACCACTGTTTGTCGTGTATTTTGTACACGGTGAACAGTCCATATGCTGATTACACTATTTTGCCTGATTACACTATTTTGCCTATACCGTTTTTTTTAGTACTTCGAATTTTGTCTAATGGTTTGGATTGTTCGTACTTGGTATTATTTTATGTTAACATCGCGCAGTAATAAATACCAGTTGTATTCCATAATGAATTGTGTCCTGTAAAATTCTGCCACTAGGTAAAAAATAATAAACGGTAGTTGCATTCCATATAGAATTAATTGTATCTTGTTAACTTCCGTCTCTTGGTAACAATTATATAATTAGATAATTGATCTCAATTTTATAAACACAATAATATCTTTTTCAAATGAAATGAAATGAAATTGAGCTTAACCAGACTAATCCAGACCTCGATACACGCCAATGGTTGTGATATGTCGAAACTTTTGCCCAGGCAGTGCCGTTTAGACAACTTCTTCATTGAATACAAACTGATCAGCTGATAAAAGGAGAATATAGTTATAGAGTTTCATGATTTTCAAATAGTTTAAAAGGACGAAATATTATTTAAGAAAATTGAATTCTTACCTGTAGCCACCATATAGAACATGGACGTCAAGGCCACCAGAACCTTCATCCTGCCTGAACTGTCCAAGAAAGTAAAATGTATGTCAATGGTCGCTGATTATTCAAATCAACTCGGAACTTTTAGAATTTAATTTTGACCATTGATATTGTGGACACAATCAATAATTATTCCAGAAGAACGAATCATCCTGTTTTAAGTATACGTGTATTTTAAGAAATGTCTAGAAATGGGCCTGTATTTAATATAATATGTGAGTATAACGACCCCTAGATTATATATTAGACTTACCTGTGGGCGTGGATCTCTGTGTTTAAAAATTCACAACAATCTACAGATGGCGTTCTACTGTCTTATCTGATCTTGTCTGATATATATTTTTATATAGAAAAAGGATATTCAAAGACAGATGGCAAAGAACTGGGTAGCTAACCAGTAGGTCACGTGTTCGATCACGTGGTTGCCAAGAAACCTGCTTGGAAAATTCTGACGTGATTTCCATTTGCCAGTGTGCAGGGCGGAGTGGGGTGGGTTGGCAGCTAATGTTTAGGTGGTATGAAAAACAAAGATCCCATGTACACGTAAAAGAAAACTTGACAGATGGGTTTCGAAATAACAGTGGACTGTAACGCTGTTGTCCGGGAAGAAAGTAGCCATGTAAAATCTCGCCCTTTCGCTTTACTCAAACGGAACACTTGCGTTTTTCCCGATGTTAAGCAGTGCCATGTCACACGTTTTGCACGTGCATTCCCTGTATTCCTTTAAATACAGATCAAAATTTCAACATTCATCACTTCGGAAAAATGCCACGCCTTACACAAGAAAACATGAACAGAGCTATTGGCATGCTGGATCAGGGGGCTTCACAGGTAGCCGCCCATCGACCATTGCTCGCCTCAGACAACGCTTCCACGCCACTGGAAGAATTGCCGATCGACCCCGACCTGAAGCGCCACCTGAAACAACCGCTGCTCAAGATCGCCACATCCAACTACAGCATCTGCGCAACAGGTTCCAATCAACTACTGCTACTGCCAGGGGAACGGTTGGAACACTCAACGTCAGATCAGCCCTCAAACAGTCCGAAGACGCCCGGCTGCTCTTGGGTTACGCTGCCGTCGACCTTACCAAGATCAAATCCTTTTGTATCGTCATAGACTTGCCAGACAGCAATGGGCCGCAAATTAGGGGTATCTGAACAACACATCATGGCGAAATGTCATCTTCTCGGATGAATCCCGATTCAACCTCAGTTTTCCTGATGGACGTCACCGTATATACCGACGTCAACATGAACACTTTGCTCGTAACTGCGTGCTGGACAGGGATCGTTTCGGGGAAGTGGCGTCATGGTTTGGGCCGCTATCAACGTCAACTTCCGATCCCAGTTGGTGGTGGTCCAAGGCGATCTCAAGGCTCAACATTATGTTGAGACCCCATCCTTCGTCCGGTATTGCTTCCATTGGTGGCTCAACATGGCGTCCGTCGACAGATGGTTTTCCAGCAGGACAACGCCGAACCTGAAGGTCCCATGTTGGATCCCTGCGTTGGCCCAAGACAGTTCATCAGGATTTTCCAGCATGGTTCCACCTTGTCATTTGGGCAGGACCGAAGGCCTGACAAGAAACAACGGAAAAACAAGGTCCTGTGTACATATTGACGTGCACGTATAAGATCCCTTGGCAGTAGCAATTCAATAAAAGAGTAGGCCGTAGCGCCTCTGTCCGCACAAAATTTCCCTCATAGTAGACTGTATCATTGGAGCAGAACAGTAGGACGTTAAATTTTATTTTATTGTATAGATAATGACTCACCTTCCTCTTGTAACTGTGTTAAAAATAAAGTAAGATAAGTATCAGATATAAGTTCTGGACCAGTTAACAAAGAATTTAAATTAAACCACTGATGACCCAACTTTCTAACAGCAAACCAATGTTGTTGAAAAATTACAAATAAATGCTGTTCATTACTAAAATAGAAAATAAAGGTTTTACATGTAAGTAGCAATAATCAACCCTTTGTAATTTAGCCGAAAGTAGATTGATTTATGATACCACTAGAAGAATGCCCGGCTTCGCTCAGGGATCATAACCCCGAAACCGGAAGTGGTAGACTAACGCCACCTGAGCTATGTTACTCCCCGGTCCGAGTTACCCCTATACCCCAAATTTCAGACTCCGGGCAGACCTAGTGTAGCCGCCAACCCCGAACAGACAAACAGACAGACAAACGACAGTCACAAATATTAGTATATATAGATAGTGGCTGGTTCATTGTTTTACCAATCGGCACCCTAACCCTACCCCTAACCCAGTAAAGTGGACAGTTCCAGAGCTCTCAGCACCCTAACCCAGTGAAGTTGACAGTTCCAGAGCTCTCAGCAACCTAACCCAGTGAAGTTGGCAGTTCCAGAGCTCTCAGCAACCTAACCCAGTGAAGTTGACAGTTCCAGAGCTCTCAGCAACCTAACCCAGTGAAGTTGGCAGTTCCAGAGCTCTCAGCAACCTAACCCAGTGAAGTTGGCAGTTCCAGAGCTCTCATCACTCTAACCCTAACCCAGTGAAGAAGTCGACAGTTCCAGAGCTCTGAGCACCTGTATCAGCTGAGTGTGAGTGAAATTATCTGGCTGGAGAAATTCATTGACAGGAGCCCTATTTTAAGTTTGGAAATCAAAGTTTGTTAAAAAAATTAAAAAAAAAGGTGAGAATAAAGAAATTGCCAGAAACAAATCTGTTAAAAATAAGTAAAATCATGTTGGTGTGTGGAAAGACTTACTTTAAATGGAAAAGAGTTAGTTTGAATGGAAAAGACTCACATAAAATGAAAAAGACTTACTTTTTTCAATGAAATTTTTTTTTTAAGGGCAAACGCTTACTTTGAGGGAGAAAGGCTTACTTTGCGGGGAAAAAGACTGACTTTAAGGGTGGAAAAAATCACTTTGGTGGTGCTGGGGGGAACTTACTTTGAGAGTGGAAAAGACTTACTGTGAGGATGGAAAAGACTTACTTTGAGGAGGAAGGAGGGGGATTTACTTTTGTTGGGAAAAGACTTACTTTCAGGGGAAAGGACTTACTTAGGATTTATTCTTGCTTGATAAGCTTGTTCTGTTTGACTGTTGTATGGTATCATCTCTAACCCCAGACTGTTAGGACATCGGATATAACTTGTACAGAGAAAAAAACACTGTCATCAAAATTACTGGAGGGTTGCTGTTAATATTAAATACAGTAAAATTACTGGAGGGTTGTTGTTAATATTAAATACAGTAAAATTACTGGAGGGTTGCTGTTAATAATAAATACAGTAAAATTACTGGAGGGTTGCTGTTAATATTAAATACAGTAAAATTACTGGAGGGTTGTTGTTAATATTAAATACAGTAAAATTACTGGAGGGTTGCTGTTAATATCAAATACAGTAAAATTACTGGATGGTTGCTGTTAATATCAAATACAGTAAAATTACTGGATGGTTGCTGTTAATATCAAATACAGTAAAATTACTGGAGGGTTGCTGTTAATATCAAATACAGTAAAATTACTGGATGGTTGCTGGTAATATTAAATACAGTAAAATTACTGGAGGGTTGCTGTTAATATCAAATACAGTAAAATTACTGGATGGTTGCTGTTAATATCAAATACAGTAAAATTACTGGAGGGTTGTTGTTAATATTAAATACAGTAAAATTACTGGATGGTTGCTGGTAATATTAAATACAGTAAAATTACTGGATGATTGCTGGTA